GGACCACAGGTGCCCGCCACAACACCCGTCTATTTTTTGGTTGCAGCCGTCATTGTTGTTTGGCAGGCCTGAGCTGGATTTGAACCCGCCACTTTAGGTGTGTATGGCTGGCGCCTTAGCCACTTGAGCCACAGGCGCCGAGCCTTAAAATTGTTTTGATAGGAAAACATTCATCCTGATAGTATATTTTTTAATTAGCAGATTGCCTTATGCCATTTTATGTTTGTTGGTGGGTGAGTATTCAGTCATGGTTTAATTTTCTTGGCGGAGAGACTGGCTAAGTGCTCTGCGTCTTTCTCTGTGAACTCAGAGCCCTGTAGAAGGGATTGGATATTCCTGGGGCTCTGAGGTCCTAAGACGGCGGAGGCGTGGACAGCAGGCAGTGAGCCTAGGCTCTCCAGTCTCTCCTTGGGCTGTTTGTGTCCCTGTGAAGCTCTCAGTCCTTTCTCTTGGGGTCAGTTGGGCTTCCTGGCCCCGGGTGCCCCGTTCCTGCAGCCTTCTTGGCTCTCTTGGGCCTGCCTGATGTCTCAGGGCTCCAGGGATGAGTTCATCAGACTTGTCATGATTGTGTTTTAAATCATACTCAGTTGGCTAAGATTTAAAAAGCAGCAAAGGGTGGGACATGGTATTCATTCCTTTTGTTCCTTAATAAATTGTCACAAATGTAACTGCTTCACTCAGCCTCCACCAGTCGTTCCTACAGATCTTCAGGTCAGAAGACCAGAGGGCTTGGCCATTCTCCACTCAGAGTCTCACAGGCCAGGGGAGCCAGCCCCACTGGGCGATTGTCTGCAGGCCTGACACTTAGTGATGCCCACTGAGTCTCCCCTTAGTACACCTACTGTAGGCAGAGTGGGGCACCGGCTGCAGGCAGTGTAGGGACTCGGCAGCACTCGGCTCCTTGGGTGGGAGCACAGATTCCTGGCAGACTGGTGGCATCTGGCTCATCTCCCTTCTCACCCAAAGGCAGCTGATGAGCAGCTGTGATTACTGAGATAGCGAGATGTGCCTTCAGCAGCTTCAGTCTTGAGGGTGTGGGCCCAAGCCCTGGGGCTGTGGTTAGGACTCTGCCTACTTTATGTGCACTAGGGGAGCACCATCTTAGCGTGGGGAGGAGGGGCGGTGTGAGGCTAGGTGCTTTCAGAGCACGCAGGGCCTGGAGGCCCAGGGGAAGGGACCAGTGGGAGAGTGAGTGGCAGCCAACCCTAGCAGGTAGAGAAGAGCCTTCTAGGCGAGGTAGGGCCCTGTTTCAGGTTGGGGGTAGAGGCTTCAGATTCTGCAGCTCTTGCATTGTCAATTTCTACTTTAACTTGAAAGCAATTAAATAACATTTAAAAAATACCATTAAGTCATAGTTTTTAGTAAGTGTTTTTGCTATTCCCAGGTCTTTAATGTCTTTGCTGCCCCAAATGCATTAGGAACATTTTAAGCTGTAGGTGTTCGGCTTTTATTTCGGATGCTTCTGTGACTTTCAGTGGCTTTTGATTAAACAAATTTTGTGACTTGACGTGGAGTGAGTGCCTTAGAGCCCGGCTGAGTGGCAGTCCGAGTAACGGCACCAGGATGAGCGCCACTCCAGTCTTCTTAAAGACGGTGTCCTTCTGCACAGTCATCTCCTCCCACAGTTTTTAGGTGGTCTCTGCAGTGACACTGATGCCTGCTTTTTCTGTGCAGGGGAGCGGCCGTTCCACTGCACTCTCTGTGAGAAGGCCTTCAACCAGAAGAGCGCCCTGCAGGTGCACATGAAGAAGCACACGGGGGAGAGGCCCTACAAGTGCGACTACTGCGTCATGGGCTTCACACAGAAGAGCAACATGAAGCTGCACGTGAAGCGGGCGCACAGCTGCGTCGGTGAGGGGTGCTCTCCGCTCAGGTCACATGGTGGCCGTGCGCCGTGTGGGGTGTGGCCGGGCCTCAGTTCACGGGCTGGAGCTGGTGCTTTCTCTGCTGATACTCAGTGTGTGAGGTCTTCAGGGCTGTCGGTGGGCTGCCCGCCCCTCACTCAGAATTGGATGACATTTGTGATTTATCCTGGGGAGGATGCAGAGATTTCTTAGGAGCAAGAGGGCCACTCTCAGCCTGAGCACAAGCAGTGTTTCTGAGCAGCTGGTTCTCTCTGTTGCTCCCACGTGCAGTCAGCAGCCGGGGCAGCGCCCGCCTGTCTCCACAGGGTTTCTGAATCCCCACCCCGCAGCGGGCAGGTGAGGGCCGTTCTGGTGCTCAGGGGCACAGGTGTCGGAGGCAGTGTGATCCTGACGTTGGCGGGGAAAGTGGCAGCGTCTGGCCACATGCTTCTGTTGCATCCTGCTGACTCTGCACAAACTACAGCTGGGCCTTGGTTTTCTCTGTGGGTTCCCTGACACTGATGCCGTCAGGGTACAGGGTCTTGTCTGGCTGTGAGCCTGCCGCCTGCCTCTTCTTGCCTGAACCTCACCCTGTTCCTGCACGGGGTCTGGCAGTGAATCTGTCTCCACTTAAGGAAGGAGAGGAACTGATAACCTCGCCAGGCTGAGTAGCTGTAAGAGGAGTTAAAATACAGCTCTGAGCAGAGCCCTCAGGAGCTCCAAGGGTGCCACTGGGGCCCGTGCTCTCGGGTGGGGTGGGGTTATAGCACCCAGGCGTGTAGGGACTCAGGAGGAGGACTTCACGTTGGCAGGAAATGAGGAGGAAAAGGATGATTTTCTAACATCCACACGCTACAGAAATTACACGTTCATATTTAAGTATTAGTTGCTTATTACTGATGCCGTATTAATATAACCTTTATGCGAGTAAGTGGTCTCCTGAGTGCTCTCACGTGCTCACACTCAAAACAGTGACTGCTGCTGGCACAACTGTTTATCCTGCGGCTCTGGTTACTCCTTCTTTGGGATTGAAAGCAGATTAATTCAGAAATTAGTCTCTGTTGGTCCAGGCGTGTCCCTCCCTCCCCTCCCCCCTCTCTTTTTTCTGTCTCACTTTATTGTGTTCTAAATTGTAAGTTACTTTTAGCCCCATATGCAGTTATTTTATGGAGATTTACAAAAGGTCATTATTTCCCTTACCCAAATATTCTACCTCTCCATTCATTTTAATTCTACAAATTACATTTCATTTGTTATGTAATCCATTTTAATGTGTCATTGTATATAACATGTGTTTACACATCATATACCCACAGTTCCATTTGTGTAACACATACCTCTCCAGCTGGCAGTCAGATACAGCTCCAAGCTGGAATATTTGCGGTAATAGTTGCTTAATAATTGCATAGTGCTTTATTGTTTGCTAAGCACTACCACCTAAGTAATTAAATTTAATTTTCACAACATCCCTGTTAGTCAGAATAGATAGAACTATTGCCCTTTGGGCCAGGCGAGGTGGCTCACACTTGTAATCCCAGCACTCTGGAAGGCTAAGGCAGGTGAATCTCTTGAGCTCACGAGTTCAAGACCAGATTGAGCAAGGGCGAGACCCTGTCTCTAAAAATAGCCGAGTGTTGTGGTGGGCAACTAGTCCAATATACTCAGGAGACTGAGGCAAGAGGATCTTTTGAACCCAACAGTTTGAGGTTGCTGTGAGCTATGAGGCCACGGTACTCTACCCAGGGTGACAAAGTGAGACTCTGTCTTAAAGAAAAAAGAACTGTTGCCCTGTAAACAAATAAATACTCAGAGACTGATGAAAATTGGCACAATGCTTAGCTCAAGGAAATCTTACTTAAAAGTGAATTATTTTGTGCTGTTGAAGGTCTGAGACTCTGCTGTGTTTCCTCTGCCTGTGTGACAGGAGCTTTGCAGGCGTCTGCTGGTCGCCCGGAGCAGGACGGGGAGGAGCTGAGCCAGACCCTGCACCTGGAGGAGGTGGTACAGGAGGCCGGGGGCGAGTGGCAGGCTCTCACCAACGTGTTCTGATGCAGGCATGGGTGCCCTTGGAGAGAGTTTCTGAAGTTACAGTTTGTGAAGAACAAAGCACTTGGAACTTCTTTTTTAAAGCTTCAAGTGTTAAAAATGTTACCACAATAGTTTTGTAGCTATAAAATTATCTAAAGAATCACTGTCTTTCAGAGACTTTTAGGAAAAAAATTGGAGAAAATGTAAACGCATTATTCTCATTCGTCTGCAAATCTCTGAACTCAGGTACTCCAGCGGCAGTCTCGCCTTCCACCGCCGGCGTCTCTCTGCAGAGGCTCTGATGGGTCTCACATCACTGTAGTGTGACTTCTTTGTGTCAGCAAAGACAGATGTTAACACGGAAAAGTACGTGAGACTTCCTTTGTGCTTTCTGTTCTAAGAAGCATAGCTTACAAAACAGATACAAGAGGTGCATGAAGTTCAGAAGAAACGCTACCACACACACAGGGAAGTGTTTTCCATGTTTTTCTCTGTGCATTTTGAAAAGTACTAGAAATCGACTCTTTTTAGTCTACTATAGTTAATCTAACCAATACCCTGAGAGATGGCTGGACCAATTCTCTCTCCTTACAAAGACCTAATCATCAGTTCCAAGAATGCAGTCTCTGGGACGTCCACACAGGGAATCGTGCAGACCTGGCTCACTGATAAGGACCACACCGTCCTCACGGGACGGCGGCACACTCACTGCGCAGATCTGCGCTCAGGCCCGTGGGTTAGATGATCGCAGAAGCACAAGCCATACGTTGCAAACAGGAGATCACAGAGCTGTCTCCTAGGAACAAGGAACTGTGGCCCTTTCCACCTCAGTACATAAGAAGTGTATTTGTAGTTAAGGCTAAGAATCCGTAACAACTCCACGATTTTCTCTTCATGCATAAACAGATGTATTTTTTTATTTCAGGGAATTCTTTAATATCATCAATGGTGCCACATTAAATATGCCCCAAACCAAATCTCCCCCGTTCCGGGGCAGAGTGCGTGCACGTTGTTCCTACAGCATTCCAAAGATGGAAGGTTCTCTGCTCCATGTTAATTTTCCTTTGAAATTATTTATATGTTCTATATATAAATACATATGTACATAGACAGATATATGGGCCTCTGTGTGGCTGAATAGTATATTTTGTAAATAGAAGCACTAGTCCCAGTTGCAGAGAGAGCGTCCAAGAGTCACCTCCCTCCGAGCACTTCCGATCAGTATTGTATTCATTTTACCAATAAATGGGTATCTTTTTCATTGTAATATAAAGCCGGGTTTTATTTTTTTCTCCTGAAAAATAATTGCCTTTATTTTCTCTCATTGCCTCCTTTGTTTCAGAAGAGAGTAGTTTTATTATAAATATTGTATGGACTTTGTATATTAAGAGAGGGGCTCATTTCAGATTCCTAAAGAAACAGACATTTCACTGTTATGTTGAAAGGGCATCTTTTGATTTTTTTTGTTGTTCACTTTTGACATATGTATATAAATATTAATGGTGATATAAAACTTTTGTTATGTGAAAATATTTAAGTCAGAACTGTTAAATAATATTACTTTTTTTTTCAAAACTGCTTTGTGTATTGTATATTTTTTTAAGAAAAAAAGCCTTATTTGACTTATTCTTGTGATCCTGGACTTACTATAAATCCTGAGGTTTCCTTGAATGTCAGTGTGTGTAACTGGCTATCGTCAGTGTATTCAGAATAATTGTAATTGTGCTGAAGTTTTAAAGTTTCTGCTTTTTATGCACTTTTTATTTTATAATTTTGTATTAAAATATTTTAGAAATGTTTGTTAATTTGGTAAAAAAAAAAATACCCCCAAAGTTGAAATTATTGGAATTTTAAATTTTTGTTCTTGCTGGGTTATTTATTTTACTTTTAGCATTAAATGTCATCTCAGGACGTCTCTAAAAAGGGGTTGTTTAATTCCTGATTGTACAGAAAGCATAGTTTAGTGAACCGTATTGGTTAATTGCCTATTTAAGGCCTTAACAGGAGAATCTAAAACCTAAATTGATTTAGGTTAAAGAAAAAGAAAAATATCTATCAATAATTCCATTTCCTGTCTCTTCTCAATTTGTTAGCAGGCACAAACACAAGACATTTATATATTATTTTTATTTACTCCCTAATTACAAAAGCTGCTGCTTTGTAAAACATTCCTTGGAAATATAAGTTTTTAAAAAGACATAATTTCACTTGAATGTTTGTGGGATACAGGTCGATCTTTATATTTTACTCACTGATTAAAATGTTTTCTTAGAAAAGAGATTTCTAGCCTCATGTGTAACCAGGGTTTTGAGGATAGAGGACTGTATTTTTAGAACTGTCTCATCGTAGCATATCTGCTTTGGAATAACTATAAATAAAAAAAAAAGAAGTTAGGAAATGTGATTAATTTTTCCTTTAAAAATATTCAAGACACATGAATGAACTAATTTCAAGCTCAGATATTTTTAACAAAAAAGAAATTTAATGATATTTTTCATTTACCTCTTGTGAATTCCAGACAATGAAAGTTTATCCTTGCAGTGTCTGTTGGAAAAGCTTCCAACCTCAGAAGTCAGGGTGTGGCTCGATTGACAGTAAGTCATGCGTGAGCACAGTCTGTGCAGGCCCCATTTCCATTCTCATCTTCCTCTGTACCTGTCCCCGTGAGTGGTAAGAGATGTCTAGGACCTTTTTAAAGTTTGTAACTGTCTTTAACCCACATCCTAAAGTAATCCAGAGGATTGGGGCTTTTCCAAAGACTCTGAACTCAAAGCTGGGATGTGGATTCAAGGGAGCAGAAGGGATACAGCCCATGTAGGACCCATTCTGAGAGACACCGTGCAAGTGGGCAGGTTTAAATAGGACGGCGATAGATTAAAAATGTGTTTAAAACACGTGAACCATCCTCCCCCCAGCCCCACTGCTGTCAGAAAGCTCTACTTCTGCCCTTGTCAGTACCTGGAGTGTTCAGGCCATACTGAGTGGAGGGAGGCCCTGGTGGCCAGCTGGCCTCAGCCCTGAGCGGGGCTGGGCGACACCTGCTGGCCTCCGGGGGATACGCACATCTGGAGAACCATGCTGAGGGTTTATACCTAGCCTGCCTTCCCCTGGAAACATCTTTGGTGTGACATTTTTCCTTCATTGTCATGTTTAAGGAAATGACACTAGTGCTCTCGTCTTCTGTGAACTTGGGTGATGTACGTGTGAGAGGCGTGTGTCGGCACGGGGCAGGTTACAGTGCAGGAGGGGGTTTCTGCTGGGATGCATGACCATCATTTTAGCGGAAATTCACAACTCATTATGATACCTATTTGGGTATTAAGTGACCAACATACAGATTTATATAAGTAACTTTCCAAAGTTAATATAAAAATACACAGAGCTTTCTAGTTATCATAAAGGTGGTCTCATGTATGCGTGACTTTTTTTCCAAAGCTTATTTCAAAATTATTGCTATACCCTCCTCCCACCCCAAAGAAATTAACCCAAGGATTGGTTGTTGCTAATTTATCCTTTTTCTCCAACCCACAGCATAGTAACTGAGGCAGGGAGGAGACTGTGCAGCCCATACATGTGCTCTGGACTCGCCTGATCTGTACTCATGTACAGGAGGTGCTTTGGATTCTTTGGAATGAAATTTCCAAAGCACCTATGTACACATCCCCACCTAACGTTTCGTGTCCATTGGGCCTCTGTCTTCACTTTATTCTAATGGAAATGTCATATGCCACAGGCAGCTGTGCGGGACCTTCTTCCCTGTTGAACAAGTGGGAGCAACAGGACATCTTGTGAAGTTAGATGTCTCGCACACTCTTCGTAGAGACTTTCTTTGCCCTGGGGTTCCGGAAACACCTGTCCTACTTGGCCTCTATCCTCTCCGAATGCATTTCCCTTCCTCAGACACAGAGGCCCGAGAGCACACCCCCACTCAGCAGCTTCACACTTGCCCTGTACAGAGGCATTGTGGGAGTTTTTTACATGGATGACTAATAAATATCTAAAGTGCTAAAAAAATAAAGGTTAGTATGAAATGGCAGGAACAATAGGCAGTAATATGAGATTTTGCTATTTAATTTTTTATGTGTAATATTTTACAGCATGAAGACTTGTATTATTAAATCAAGATTTGTATTATATTTGACAAATTCTAAAGTGACATAGTGATTCTTTGATTCACCAGTAAAGAAAATTTTTAAAGTTAATTTTTTTTTTTATTTACAGAAGAGTTCTCTTTTTATCTTCAAAATTGTTTCATGGTCTATTTATACATTGGATGCTATTTATTTAATCCAGTTTTGTATTAGAAATGGATAGTTATGCCGAAAGCCACTGTGCTGGCTTTAAAAATAATAAAGATAGTTTTTGCATTATTTTAAAACTTCTGTATATTTACTTATTTGGGTTTTGGGTGAGTTGTAACTGTTTTAAAGGTTGACATCTTCTGTAGGAAACATGTTTAGCCTGGGTTCACACAGCATGACAATACCCAGTTAGTAATAAATTCAAGTCCTTGGTATTCACAGTGTGCGGATGCCACGTTTGGCTTCTTGAGGATATTCTCTCTCTGCTTTCTCGTTTAAAATGTGTTTATTTCCATGACTCACACCTGTAATGCCAGCACTCTGGGAGGCCGAGGTGGGAGGATCCCTTGAGCTTAGTAATTCGAGACCAGCCTGAGGAAGAGCGAGGGCCCCATCCGCCCCACCCCCCCCCCCCAAAATTGGCTGGGCATTGTGGCCGGCACCTGTAGTCCCAGAAACTTGGGAGGCTGAGGCAGGAGTATCGCTTGAGCCTGAGAGTTTGAGGTTTCTGTGAGCTGTGATGTTATGGCACTCTACCCAGGGCAACAAGAATGAGACTCTAACTCAAAAAAAGAAAAAAAAAAGAAAGTTGTTTATCTGTTTGTGAGGTGTGTAGATGTTGCACTTGCCCAGAAATACCAATGGAGTTAATTTATACTATAGAATCCTTTTAAAATATACATGAATATGTTTTAGTATGTCCCACATTTCCAAATAGCTAGAATTTGGCAGTTTGTAGAGTCGTTACCCTGTTAAAATAAATGTACCTGTTTTTCCTCTGTCCCCTTATATATAGTGCAGGGTAGGGACTCCATGCATTTTTGGACTGAAATAGCCTGTAGTGGTTTAACCTTCCTGGTAAGAAGCTGGCTAATCATTCTTGCCGATTGTTTCATTTGCAGGAGGCATATCACTCTAATAGTTTTTGAAATACAGTTGGTAGGAGAAGGGTAGTTTTTCTATAATTATCAAATTATGTAAAATTTGTTCCCACTACAGTGAATAGTCTCAACTATTTAAAATGCTTTCCCAGATGAGTTTTTCCCAAATGCTGGAACTCTGTTACAATGTGTGGTGCGTCCATATTAAAACACAAGTGCATGAACAAGTGGGTTGTGTGTGACAGAGCTGGAGGAAGGGGACGTGGGACTCCCACTCAGACCACCTCGGACCCTGACAGTCTAGCTCAGTCAACTGCTTAGGCCTCTCTTTGTCTATAAAATTAGTCAATTAAACTTATTCTTTCCCAGCTCTCCCTTCTCGTTCTCAGTTAACAGGTGATGAGATGTTGGACACAGTTGTGTCTGGCTCTCTCAGCATCTGTGTCTTGTGAGCAGCACACTGCCCATCCTTGTTCTCGCTGCTGTTGTCAAGGATGTCGGTAAGGAGCACTGCTGCAGAGGCAGGGAGAGCGTCTTCCCCTGAGCAAAGGGATGCTGTGTACAGACTGGCAGAATCAGGATGTCCACTCTGCAGTGAAGGTCATGCAGGCACACAGTGGAGCAGGGAGGGTTCCGGTTCCCTAAGCTACAGCATGACGCCCTGTGCACCTGTGTCACTCTGGGCGTGAGGGCTCAGGTGCCCACACACATGCTGGGGATCCAGCTGCTGCTGTTGCTGTTTGACTCTGTCTTGGAGCCTTGTGTCTTCTGCCGGCATCCAGGACACTCTTCTGCGGCTCTTGTGGGAGGAGGTGGGGAAGGACTAAGAAAGATGTTCCTGACAGTGTGTTGTTGATCCCCCCTGCGAGCCCGGGTTGGATCCCCCCAGCCCTGCCTATGAATGGGGTTGTGTTTACAGACATTTCCCACAGTCCACTCCCTCCATGGTGCTATTTCCCTCTTGGAGGAGCTTTGAGTTTCCTGGTGCCTCTGCTGGCTGACACTTTTTCGGTCCCTAAGGAAAGACTGAGAAGTGACAGCCTACGCACCCACATGCTGCCTCTCTGCTCCTTCCTTCCAGGTAGCAAATGTCCCCTCTAATATTTTTATTCTGGGCCAACCAAGATCGGTGATTTTGTGATGCTATTTTAGTAACAGAACAAGGCAATCATGGGTTATCCTGGCAATCAAGCTCTAAGAAAGAAACATTTAACATGAGACAGCTCACTTTGATGTCAGCTCAGCCCCTGTTTTGTAGTCACTGGCCCCCTGCCCAGAGATTCTCTTTACAATACAGTTTCTCTTTCAGATTAGTAGTCTAAACTCTTTATTCTTTTTGTATAACCTTTATTTTTATAGTAGTTTCAAAGTTACAGAAACACTG